GTCTTCCTAAATGGTACATTTTTCAGTATTCCACTTTATAACTCTCTTGTGTCAAGCTACATTTATTATTTTTTAATGGCTGTTTCATGGCATATGCATCAGTGATATAAAATACTGATTTCTTGCCTAAGTTACTAGGTTTGGAGAGGGGATTGTAAATTTAAATTTTTGGTAAGTTCTTAGATGATTCTGACACAATTGGTAGAAGGGCCATACTTTGAGAGCCACTGCTCTGGAGATCATAGGATATATTCTTTACTTACAGTCTACCTGAAGTTAGTTTATTCTATTTCAAATATAATGTAAGAAACTTACACCATGCTTGAGTGTCTAGCATATTGTTAATTCTAACTAATGAACATTTTAATTTTAGATACTATAATTTTCAGTTATTTGATTTCCATTTGTTTTGTATTTCTTTGTACTGCTTTTACATTTTCTGACACTAACAGCTCCCCATTTCTTTACCACCTTTACTCATCTTTTCTTGTATATTCTAACACATATATTTTTAAATCTTTATGTGATGATTCCAAACTCTGGATTATTTTTGTAAGTACATTTCTGCTTGTTAATTTTTCTATTGACTTTGGTTCATATATTCTGGATTTTATTATATTTCTCTAGAATATTAAGTTTTAGTGGTCAGTGTTTTTCTTCTCCCCCTTATTGTAAATTGGTCTATTTTGCCTTAATCCTGGGGCATTGTATTTCTTTGTAGAGCATAAACCTTCTGGAATTTCAGTGGAAAACCTCAGGCATTTATTGAGTCTTCTTAATTTATTAGGCTTCAAACCGTATCCCCGGTAATTCTGGCAGCAGCTGAAATGTCTACAAATATATTCAGCCTTAGGTTATTGTTTTACCCTTAAAACCTTTAGAGTCTTAGGATCATTTCTGAAGTCACCCAACAATTCTGAGGGAGTTAACCTGTGTATTTATTATCTCCACCCTTCTTTTAGGATCGTGTGCCTATCTGTGATGGCAGTCGCAGAGTCTGTCCTGTGCTTTGTTAGACAGTTAAGACTGAGTTTTTTGTTTGCACCGTTTGGAATATAAAACCTTCAGGGAAAAGTCACTCAGACACAAAATCTTACCTAAGATGATTTTTCAAGAGTCAATTTTCTTCCAGTTTCTGCCAGCTTTTAATCACCCCCCAATGCTTTCAAATCACTAAATCAATATCTGTGTCTACCTCTGGCTCTGGCTCTCTCTCTCCCCCGCTCCCCTCTCTCCCCTTATCCCTTCTTTCCTTCTCCTCTCTTCTTTCTCGTGTGTGTTTGTGTGTGTGTGTGTGTGTGTGTGTGTGTGTGTGTGTGTGTGTGTCCTTCTCTGTCTCTCTGTATAGCTCTAGGATACCCTACTTACCTTTACTAGAAAGTTCATAGTTACGGGTGGGAAGTTGATCTGTTTGAAGATATTCTGCCATTACTACGAGTAGAATTCTTCTCAAAATGAACATGTCACATGAAGAAGAAATAAATCTCTCTTTGACTACTAAGATTTCTTTTTAACCCAGGAATATTCCTGTGCCTGTATATTTTGATTTATGCATATCCACCCACTTGGATGGGGCTGTCACTTTCATGAGAATGGTTCGTAGTGTCCCCTACTTCCATTCTGTCTACCTACAAAATAACCTTAAGATTAACATTTCTAAACTGCAGCTCTGGACCTAGCACTCTGTTAGCAGAACTCCATAGTGACACTCCATTGCCTGATGAAGGGAATCTGAGTTCCTTAGCATGTCATTCAAGGCCACCAACTCTCTGGTCCAAAGCATCATGGTTGTCAGCCCTATGTTAGGTTTTACCTAGGAAATTACCACGCAAAGCCCAAGTTGTGACTTCTTCTGGGTTAACTATCTTAATAAAGAAACAACATAATGTTCAAAAGTCATTATCAAAAATTTAAGTCAACTAGGTACATTCTCAATTTTGCTGTTTCTATTGTTATTGTTGCTTTAATATAGATTAAGGGGTGAGACGCATGTTACATATTCATGTAGGTGAAATTTAAATCTGTAATGTTTATATAACTAAAAGCAAGAATGACATAATTCTCTGAAATCTGTTATGATATGTCTAGTTATCTCTTACATTTCTTGTATCCTGTATGTGAAATATAGGAATGCTGAATTGGGAAGAAAATCATTCTGAAGTTACAATAATACGGATTTTTAAAGGATATTCCTTATAAAAAACAATGCTTACAAAACAATCCCAGCTTTTGCAAGTCCCTATTTTTGAATGCCCAGAGGAGAAAATCACACAGCATGTCCTAAAGGACCATTTTTAAACACAATCTTATATGCCTACAACCTAAAAGATGTGGATATGGATAGTGTTTATTCACAGAAGTGGAAAGGACCTTACATCTGATTAATCCTTTATACAAATGCTTTGTGGCCTTGTACGCATAAGAGGTTACCCATAGATACTTTGTGAATTGAATTAAATTAAAATAGCATTCAGTTACTTCTTTTGACTTTATTCAGTTTATTGTGAGTTATAAATGAAATCTGTGGTTTGGTATTCAGTCTTGTACCATGCAAAAGGCACATACTGCTGGTTGCCAATGGAAATTCTGCCTGGTAAAGAAGTATGCTTCACTTAAAGAATGTTTCCATGCGTGTTATTTCCAAAGAGCATTTTCAGCGCCCTGTGAGACCACCAATAATTTATACTGCTAGTTGCTCTTTAGAAAACCCTTTGGCCCTGAAGTACAGCAATATTATCAGACTTTCTGAATTCTGCTTCCATTTCTACCTTTTTGGAAAGTCAGTTCTAGGTTGAGTTTCTTCTGGTGAACAGTACCAGTAACAGTAATTGTCTGTGTTGTAGAGTTGTTCTAAGGTTTAAATAAGATAGTACTCTAATAGGGCTTTAAATTTTTGTTTAAAAGTGGAAACTTTATGCAGCATCATGAAATACTACATTAATCAGTGGCTGGTTTTTTTGTATAGGTATTGATTACCTGTGTGGAATTACCTACATCTACCTGTATTCATTAAGAACCTTTCTAAGATATATTAGGTTATTATAGTGATAGAGTTTAGTTTGGTCACTTTAATAGATTTCCCTCTTTTATTACCGTCGTTTTATTGTTTTTTATTATCAAGATTTACAGTAATGCCACAGAGTGTGTGCCCTAGAGTGTTACTCTAATTACATTAATTGATACACATTATTTTTATTATAATTAGTGATTCTCAAACAAGGGGTCCTGATAGCTCTGGGCCAGAGGGAAGACCCAAACTCTTTCGCTGTGTTAACAGTGATCCATCTCCCTCTCTCATTTGCATATTTTCAGTGATCCATGGCTCAGCACCCAGATCCCTTTTCTTTGCAGTCTGTACTCACCTAGCAGGTGACTCCCCCAGGCCTCATAACTTACCACAGACACCATACACTGATTTCATTTCCAGCCCAGACGTCCTCCTCACGCCCAGCCCAGTATCTGGTGCTGAGATCTCCACCTGGATGCCCATCAGGCATCACAGCCTGAACAGTTTATGCTCAACACTGATCTAGGGTAGCCGCCCACCCACAAGTTCTTCGCATCTTCCCCGTTTTAACTAATGGTTGAACGAGTTGTTCAACCCAACAATTTCCTCTTTGCTCCTTCAGCACATCCTGGCAGTTCTACATTCTGAGTACGTCTAGGATCTCACCACATCTCACCACCATCACACTGACCCAACCCACTCTGATTTTTCCCTGACATTATAATCATTGCTCCATGTCCCTAGCCTTTCTGTCGCGAGCCCTAGTCCACCACAAACCCTGTGCAACATGCTGTTCAGTCTGAGTCCTCTGGAGGGGCTTCTCTGCTCCAGGCCCTCTTGCCTAGTGGCTTCCTCTCTCGCTCAGAGAAACAGCCAAAATCTAGACTGACTTTTAAGGTCCTGTCATCGGCATCATGTTAGCTCTGCACTGCTGCCTCTCTTATTCTCCACTGTTTCCCTCCTGCTCATTCATGCTCTTGTCCTTGTTATTCCTCAGATAGGCTAAATAATCCCAGTTCGTACCCTACCTCATTTGCTTTCCTTTCTGCCTGTTATATTCTCTGCCCTGCAATGACTACACAATTAGATTGAAGGACCCTTAGATATTCATTTAAAAATCACCTTCCTGTGAATCTCTACCCATGCACAGTAAAGTTTCAAAATTCGATGTAACCACTCGGCCATGTGCCCCTTCTCTTCATTTTTCTCTCTAGCACTTAATTACTGTCTAACCTTTTCTATATTTCATGTATTGTCTGTCTCCACTAAATTGAAAGAAAGTTAACAAGAGCAGAGACATTGAATCTGTGCTCATTGTTAGATCATTATTGTTTCTACCAGTACCTAATACCTAGTAGATATCCAGTAAGTAATTCTGAATAAATTAATAATAGGGCTGGCCTACACTTTCATATTTTGCCAGTAGATTCCACTCTCTAACTATGCTGTGCCCACATCTGACACACACACACACACACACACACACACACACACACACACACACACACACACACACACATATACTGGATGCATTTACAGGATGAAAGAGCTAAACATTTCCAACTCTTGGACCTAAAGGTCTTCCCAGTGAAATTATATATGGGAAATCATCAGTAGTGGGTAGGCTTTGCAGCCTAAATTGATGAAGTAGGCCCTTGTTTGAATTAGTTCCATTTTAATATTGGAAGGATATTTGCACTATTGTCTGAATCCATGCAGCTATCTGTGAAACTAAAACAGTGGGGGAAGGTGACTCTTAGAAAATAATGTGCTTGGAAATCAGTGTATTGTTAGCACAGGTACACAGAATTCTCAACTCATTGAGTTGACCACCCACTTCTCCATATTATCCATAGATAGTGTTTTGACTTCTTCTGTTTTAAAGAGATTTCAAAGTCAGCAACTGGGTGTGTCATATTCTCATTGTACTTATTAATGTTTTATACTAGCATGACAGTCATCTTAACAATTGTTTCTGTTATTATTAAATCAGGGCAACACAACTATTTATGTGCTGGAAGGAATGACTGCATCATTGATAAGATTCGACGAAAGAATTGTCCCGCCTGCAGGCTTCAGAAATGTCTTCAAGCTGGAATGAACTTAGGAGGTGAGTTCAATAGTCTTACTTTTATAAAAACTGTTCATAAGAGATATAATTTGGATTAATAAGAAATAAGAAATTTTGATCTAGGTACTCTCCAAATTAGAGGTGGGAAGCTAACACAATGCAAAGGTTTTCAAAAATCTAACAAGTCCTGTTTTTGTGCCAAATACTTCAGGAGGAATGTATTTCTTAGTCGGAATTAAAAGAAGATGTGTTGTATGGCTATAGTTCTTGTGAATTTTTCAAGCCGGCATTTGCAAAGTTTCAAGAACTGGGCATTCAACCAAAACTGAAATAAAAATGAATGACTTTTTACATAAAACCATAGCTAACAGTTTTTATTGCCATATCTACTGAGAAATAAGATCTAGACATGATAAAGTTAAACAGGAATATATTCTTAACTCCAAGGGTAACGTTTGTGAAAGAGTCTTTTAAAATATTAACAGAGGCTTACCAAAAGAGGCTAAGAGGGAAAAAGACTAGAACCAAGTGCAAAGGTGTACAATGTTTATGGATGGGAAGCCTTGGCCTCCAAAACGCATGAGTATATCCTAAGTTAATTTTAGATAGAATCTAGTGCTAAGAAAAATGCCAATTAATTAAGTTCCTATAGAACAACTAGAAAAATTCTGGAAAAGACAAATAATACAGGTAACAATCCCTACCAGACATAAAACATACTATACAGTCACTATACTTAAAATATGCAGCATATTTTTGACTGTCAGACATATCAACAGAAAGTCAATAAGTAGATATGCAAAATATGGGAAATTTTATATAATAAAGCTGGCACTTCCGATCAGTGGGGTATTCAGTAACATGTATTGTGACAAACTGCATAACCATCAGGAACAAGAAAGTTGAATCTATCTCTTACTCTACACCAAAATAACCTGGGGCCTTCAGAGATTTGAACTTTGAGAACAACCACAGAAGTACTGAAATAAAACATAATTTTAAAAATAACTGTGAAAAGACCTTTCCAAGTACGAAATAAAAGCAAAAAGCTGAGAAAATCACCTACTATTTACAAATTAGATATTGTTGGCTATATAATAAGAAACTAGAGAGACATACTTGCAATTTATAGACAAAGGTTAATTTCTCTTGTAAAGGACTGCTACAACTCCATGAAGAAAAGAAGCCAACCCACTAGGAAAATGAATAAAGATTATAAAAACAACATTCAGAGATAAAAAATAAACAATTGGTTCATGAAAAAAATCCTAATTATACTAAGAGAAATTTAAAATGTAATGGGATACACATGGGTTGATGAGATTTTACCAGTTAGAAAAACTAAAATATTTTTATGACCTTCTTTGATGAAAATACAGGAGTAAAGGCACAGTGCGTTGTGGTCTGAAGCATTCTAGGTGAGAATATAAACTATGGAGAACAATTCAGTTTAATAAAAGGTTTAAAGCATACATACACTTGGACTCAACAGTTCCACTTTCAGAAATGATTTCAAGTATATCTCACAACAAAAGAAATATGTGTGTAAAGTGCTCCATGTAACATCATTGCATCAGAAACACCTTGAACATCAGTCTGTTTGAGAATGACTCATTACAGAACACTTTGACAACATTAGTAAAAGTAAAGGAAGTCCCTGTGTGTGATAACATGGATTTCCCTCCAGAATATTGTTTAGCAGAAGACATCAAGTTACACGTTAATTATTTGTATGTTATGAGTTTTATCTGTATTTTAGAAAAAGAGCACACATTGTATAGAACATTTTGGTGTGACACACAAGAAACCGGGAAGGGTGCTTTCTCCATAGAAGGACTTGGGTAGCTGGAAGACGAGGAAAGGAGCTCTGATTGTCACCATACATCCTTCTGTGCCTTTGACTTTGGAAGTATGTATTCTGCACACATATCACCTGTTTTTAAAAAAAGTAATTTTAAAGATGAAAATTCATTTTCTTTGGTGAGTGAATCAACTGGCTGATGAGTCAAGGAGCAGGGAATAAACATGGTAGCTAGAGAACAGAGCAATTCATCTCAGATGTCAGGAAAAGGGTGATTACTGTAGGGATGGGAGCTCTCATTCTGCCGCTCACTGACCTTGTCATGGCAAGCAAGTTATCCCAGGGCCTGTGCCCCACTCTGATCTTCCACTGGAATGGATCAGCATGCCTGTCTCAGGATTAAACGAAGATATGCATGATGAAAAGAAAGCGACTGCTCAATACGTGTTGGCTATGTTAGTCAACTTTTCATTACTGTTACAAAATGCCTGAGGTACTCCGCTTTACAAAAAGAGGAGAGGTTTATTTTTGCTCAGTTTTGCACATTTTGGTCGATGCTAGATTAGCCCCGTTGCTTTTGGACCTGTGGTGAGACAGCACATTGCGGCAGCACTGTGTAGCAAGACTGTCTCCTGACCAAGATACAATAGAGAGAAAGAAGAGAGAGCTGGCAAACCAGTATTCCCCTCAAGACCCTCAAGAGCATACAGTCTGTGACAGGAAGTCCTCTCCCTAGGCCCTCTCTCTTTAGGGTTACTCTTCTAGCAGTAGTGCCATGGGCTGAGGGTCAACCCTGTAATAACTGGGCCTTTGGGAGACACCAAACCGTAGCAGGCATGGGGACAGTGAAGATGGTCTCTTTCATATATTGCAAGTGCAGCCTGAGGTACATCCTCCTTGCAGCTTCCTGAGAATGCTCATACTTTATCTTATTTAACGTTCCTCTGAACTTCCAGGAGATTTATTCTAGCCCCCTGCTTTGGTGATGGTGAGCCTGTGGTGCTCAGAGAGGTTAAATGACTTGTCCAGAGATGGCACAGGCAGTGAGATTATGAATCCAGTTCTTACATCTCCAGGCTCCTGGTCTGGTGTTTCTTGTGAACCACTCCACTACTTATTTCAGATGTCCAACTCATCACAGATGTGACATGAAAGATCAGCCTTTGTAGGTGGTGTGTGAGGATCAAAAAGGATTAGTAATGATTTAAAACCTAGACATGGTACAAGGTGGTACCATTGATTATAAAGTGACTTGGTCTATTTAATAAAATCCAACACCTGGGGTTTTTTAAAGTAGCACATACTAGAAAGATATGTTTTAAAGGATCTACATAGAATTGATATTACTTTATAAATATTATTTAATACATATATAGACCTATGTATATGTGCATAATATTACTATGTTCCATAAAATATAGGTACTATTATCACTTAGGGATGCCGAATTGATTCAGTAACCTTTAGTTACTCAACCTCTATTCTGTTGAAATTTTGGGCCAGTTTTTTCCTGTTTTTTTTTTAGAGAGCTGACCTGTGCATGGTGGGATATCAGTCACATTAACATCCCTGAATAGTTTCTGCTAGATGCCAATATCCAAAATTGCTAAATGTCTTCTGGCGGCATTGAACCCTGTTGGTTTATTAGCTGTGATAATAATACCAACCACTGTTGATGTTAGATTTTTTTTTCTAGATTACAAATTCCATCAGGGAGGAATTTGTGTCCTTTTTTTTTTTTTTTAATTTATTTGCAGTGATTATAACCATGCCTGACATACTGGTGTTCAGTAGCTACTTGTTGACTTTATGGCATTTTGGAGAGCTTGATGTGTTCCAAGCACTGTAAGAAACTTTCCTAGCACTGAAGGTTTGATGATTTGAATCCATAAAATAAACTGACAGCAGGCAGATTAGTAGGAGAAAAAGCATGCAGTTTTACTGACATACAGGCACACAGGAGTCTCATAAAGGATGAAGCTCATAGAAAGCTAAATGATAGAAGCTTAAAGATCCTGTTCATAGAGAGGGGATGAGGGGGAAATGGGTGGTTTTCTAGAAAGAGTAAATAATTTCAGGAACAATGAATGGGCTTGAAGGACAGACAGTAAGTAGCCTGGGACAAAATTTGTTTAGCTTGGAGTGTGATATTTGATTTTGAGTCTTTTTTATGATATGAGTTTACTCTTCCTTGGCTGGTGGAGTATAAGGGAGGGAAGAAAGACAACAGTGGTGTTGCTTTTTTTTTTTTTTTTTGTGAATCTGGTCTTTTGGTAGATAA